CCCAAATTCACCACCCAGAACCTTCTACAAACCGTTCCCTCCACCCAAAGTGTTCTTTCAAACAAATCCACGAACTAGGACCTGTCAGCACCCAAATTGACCAAACAGGACCTGTCAGCACCCAAATCCATCAACCAGGACCTGTCAGCACCCAAATTCATTGATCAGGAGTGGTCAGCACCCAAATTCATCAAACAGGACCTGTCAGCACCCAAATTCATTGATCAGGACCTGCTCCCACCCAAATCTATCAACCAGGACCTGTCAGCACCCAAATTGAACAAACAGGAGTGGTCAGCACCCAAATTCAGCAACCAGGACCTGTCAGCACCCAAATTCATTGACCAGGAGCTGTCAGCACCCAAATCCATCAGCCAGGACCTGTCAGCACCCAAATTGACCAAACAGGAGTGGTCAGCACCCAAATTCATTGACCAGGACCTGTCAGCACCCAAATTCATCAAACAGGACCTGTCAGCACCCAAATTGAACAAACAGGACCTGTCAGCACCCAAATCCATCATCCAGGACCTGTCAGCACCCAAATCCATCAACCAGGACCTGTCAGAACCCAAATTGACCAAACAGGACCTGTCAGCACCCAAATTCATCAACCAGGACCTGTCAGCACCCAAATTGACCAAACAGGACCTGTCAGCACCCANCAGGACCTGTCAGCACCCAAATTGACCAAACAGGACCTGTCAGCACCCAAATTCATTGACCAGGAGCTGTCAGCACCCAAATCCAGCAACCAGAACCTTCCCAACCCAAATCCATCAACCAGGACCTGTCAACACCAAAATCCATCACCCAGGACCTTCTCCAACCCAAATTCACCACCCACGACCTTCTAGAATCCCTTCCCACCACCCCAAAATCACCCAAATCCATCACCCCAGAACCCCCTCCCGCCCACCCCCCGCTCCCCCACCTGGTTGTAGAGGCTCTTCTGGCACTGCTGCACGTCGCGCAGGAAGAGCTGGAAGACGTGAGACTGCACCAGCACCTCCCTCCTCATCTCCCAGCTCTGCAGGAGCTTCCCCCAGCCCGCCTCCAACTTCTGCAGCCACTGCTGGAGGGACAGGGAAGGCACCTCCATGTCCTCCATGGCCAGCAGCTCGCTGGCCGCCTGGATCTTGGCGTAGTCCTCCTCGTAGCCGTTGATCTCCTCCTTGAGGGCCACGTGGACGTTCAGGAGCCTCTCGGCCTCGGCCAAGCTGTCGGGGATCTCCTCGGAGCTCACGGCCTCTTGAGTCTTCACCAACCACCCCAAAAAATTGTCCAAGTCTTGGATGAACTGCTGGAGCCGCCCGGCCACCGTCAGGGCGTCCTCGCAGCCTTGCAGGGCTCGCTTGAGGTTGTCCCACTCGTCGCTGATCTCCTCGAAGGGCACCAGGATCTCCAAGGCTCTGTCGGGGTGGGCGGCGGCCAAAGCTTCTCCTTCCTGCTGCAGCTCCACCAGCCGAGGTTCCAGCACCACCAGGGCGGCCTCCATGGTGGACAGGCGGCGCTGCAGGGCCAGGACGCCGCCCAGGTCGCCGCCGCCGCCCGACTGGGTGGCCTCGATGGCTTTCCTCTTCTCCCGCACCTGCGCCTTCATCTCGCCGCACTCCAGCAGGAAGTTCTGGATCTTCAGCACCGAGCTCAGCTGCCTCTTCTTGTTCTCCACCAGCTCCACCACGCGGTTCCAGCTGGGGAGGGAGGCACGGAAAGGGGTGAGGCCCCTCTGGGGGTGGGATGGGGTGGCAACGGTGGCCTGGAGAGCCCGAGCCCACGGCGACGTCCCACCACAGGATGGGGGTGCCCGGGTGACCAAGGAGACCCCAAGAAGGGTCAAGGTCCACCACGGGACCCCCGGGATGGGTTGGGTTCGGTTGGGTTTGGGTTTGGTTTGGTTTGGTTTGGTTTGGTTTGGTTTGGGTTTGGTTTGGGTTTGGTTTGGTTTGGTTTGGTTTGGTTTTGGTTTGATTTGGTTTGGTTTTGGTTTGGTTTTGGTTTGGTTTGGTTTGGTTTGGTTTGGTTTTGGTTTGGTTTGGTTTGGTTTTGGTTTGATTTGGTTTGGTTTTGGTTTGGTTTTGGTTTGGTTTTGGTTTGGTTTGGTTTGGGTTTGGTTTGGGTTTGGTTTGGTTTGGGTTTGGTTTGGTTTGGGTTTGGTTTGGGTTTGGTTTGGGTTTAGTTTGGTTTGGGTTTGGGTTTGGGTTTGGTTTTGGTTTGGTTTGGGTTTGGTTCGGTTTGGTTTGGTTTTGGTTGGGTTGGTTTTGGTTTGGTTTTGGTTTGGTTTTGGTTTGGTTTTGGTTTGGTTGGGTTTGGTTTGATTTGGTTTGGTTTGATTTGGTTTGGTTTGGTTTGGTTTTCAACCCTTCCATTGCTGACCTGAACCCCACAGTGACATCCCCCCACTGGACAACCCCAGAGAATCCCCAGTAGCCCCCCCAAGAAGAGTCAAGGTCCACCTTGGAACCCCCAGGATGGGTTGGGTTGGGTTTGGTTTGGTTTTGGTTTGCTTGGGTTTGGTTTGGTTTGGTTTGGTTTGGTTTGGTTTGGTTGGTTTTGGTTTGGTTTGGTTTGGGTTTGGGTCGGTTTGGTTTAGTTTGGTTTGGTTTGGGTTTGGTTTTGGTTTGGTTTTGGTTTGGTTTGATTTGATTTGGTTTAGTTTAGTTTTCAACCCTTCCATTGCTGACCTGAACCCCACAGTGACATCCCCCCACTGGAGAACCCCAGAGAATCCCCAGTAGCCCCCCCAGGAAGAGTCAAGGTCCACCTCGGCTCCGTACCGGCTGTTGAGATGGTCCTGGCAGGCCCGGACCTCGTCGGAGCTGGGGTGGCCACCGTCCACCAGCTGCTGCACCACCTGGTTGACGTCCAGGACGCGGCCCATGACGCTGTTCATCTCCTGGTCCAAACTCTCGAACCTGAGCACACGGACACGGGCGCGTCCACCACGGCGCCGCGCCCCTCGACACCCACCCATAGCCCCACCTCCACCCACCCACCCACCTGTGCTGCACCACCTCGACCTCATCGAGCTCCTCGGGCACCTCCATCTTCTCCAACCACTGCTCCTTCTCATCCAGCCACACCTCGCAGGCGTGCACCTCGCTGAACATGCGGTAAACGGCCAGCGCGTCCTGCAGCCACTGCGTCCTCAACACGGCCACCTCGGCCACCTCCCCGTAGAGCTGCTCCACCTCCACCACGCGGATCTGGACGTCCACGCCTTGACGGTGGTCGGGGGCCAGCAGAGCCAGCTGCTTCCTGAGGGACGCCACGGCGCCGCGGTGCTTCTCCACCTCGTCCACCACGGCGCGGTGCTTGCGCAGCAGAGCTTGGCTGGAGTAATCGTCGTGGCCGAAATCGTCGCTGGACACGATGCGGTACGCGTCCTGCAGCCACGCCACCAGGTCGTCCGTCTCGGCGCTGAACTGGAAGAAATTCATGGCGTCCTCCAAGCGCTGCTGGTGGAGCCCCGTGATCTCCTCCAGCTTCTTCCACCTCAGGCAAACTTCTCGCATCTTCTCCTGGATGCCCACGGAGCTGAAGGATTTCTTGGCCAGGATCTTCTCGCCTTTCTTCATGGTTTGGTGAAGCAACGCCCGCCGGTTGCCCAGCTCGCCCAACATGGTTTTGTGTTTGTTGGTCAAGGTCACGACGCTGCTGAGGTCGCGGCCGCAGCTTTTGGCCGCCAGGATTTTCTCCTTCTCGCGGATCCAGGCCTCGGCTTCCTCCATCTCCTGGAAGAAGGTCCAGAGCTGGCGGGAATCTTCCAGTTCCTTCCTCCTCTTGGCCGCCAGCTCCTCCAGCTCCTCCAGGCACGTCTGGACGTGGTTGACGCGGTTGCAGATGATCTGGGGGTCGCAGGGTTGGTAGCCTGGGTGGGCACAAGGGGTTGAGATGTTGGGAGGGGTGGGGCCAAGGAAGGGGCGGGTGTGGTCCAGGTGTGGTCCAGGTGTGGTCCAGGTGTGGTCCTAGCTTGGACTCAAAGATTTCAGAGGGATTTTCCGAACTTGGTGGCGCTGTGGGGACTCCTGGAGGTGGCCCAGCAGGACCTTGGGTTGACCCTTCCATGACCCACCAAGACTTTGGGTTGACCCTTCTTTCATGGCCCACCAAAATCTTGGGTTGACCCTTCCCATGGTCCACTAAAACCTTGGCTCAACCCTTCCATGGCCCACCAAGATCATTAATTGAACCTTCCATGATAAACCAAGACCTTGGGTTGGCCCTTCCATGACCCATGAGGACATCCCATGGGTTGACTCTTCCATGACCCACCAAGACCTTGGGTTGACCCTTCCCATGGTCCACTAAAACCTTGGATCAACCTTTCCACGACCCACCAAGACCTTGGTTGACTCTTCCCATGGCCCACCAAGACTTTGGGTTGACCCTTCCATGACCCATGAGGACATCCCATGGGTTGACCCTTCCATGGCCCACCAAGACCTTTGGTTGAC